TCTCTCTCTCTCTCTCTCTCTCTCTCTCTCTCTCTCTCTCTCTCTCTCTCTCTCTCTCTCTCTCTCTCTCTCTCTCTCTCTCTCTCTCTCTTAACTGAGAGTTGAAGCTTTCAGGTGAACTGGACTTCTGATTGCCGCCGTCAGCGGCTGCAGAGGCGAGCAACAGCGACGACAGACGGCGTTCACGGAAGAAGAGGGGAAGCGCGTGTGAAGGGGGCAAAGACGCCAGAGCTTTCGGATGCACAGCTTCCCCCCGCTAACGACAAACGTTCGGAGAGTGGACGACTGCGGCTATCACCGTCAGCGAGAGAGCTGATGGCTGCGAGCGAACCACACTCATCCCTTAACCGAAGTTCATTAAACTGCCCGACAACCGGAAAACCCGCAACGGTCGTTTTCAAAACACAATGGCATTTCGAACTGTACAATGATGGCAGATACGTAGCGTACAGCACGCGCGTGTGTCCGATTGCGACACGTGTCAGTCGATCGTCTAGTAATCATCACCGATCTACACTTCGGCAAACCCCTCTAACTAACCGCAGGGACTCCGAGAGTGCGACACGTGTCAGTCGTCATCTTCATCACGCCTCGTCATGGTGCCAGGTCACAAGACTGCTTCTCCTTTCGACACGTCGCACCGCGGCAGCACGTCCGTGAGCAAAACCGCAACAAGCTGAAGTTGTGGAAGCTACCAGGTAGGAGTCGAGTTGGAAGAGATGGCTCAACTACCGGTCGCCCAATGGTAAGCGGAAGTTGTTGATGCTCGAAGCTACCAGGTAGGAGTTGGAAGAGATGGCTCAACTACCGGTAGCCCAATGGTGAACAGCCTCTTTGCAACAAACACTTCTCTCCTTCACTGCCATTCCGTCGCTCCGGCATGTCAACAACGTGTGCATATACGAACTGGTGAAACCAACGGTCAGTCGGCATTTTCTTTCAGCGCCAATTCGTCAGGTATGGCGCTGGTTTTTGGCGGGTTCGTTCGAATAGGTAGGAGCTGAAATTGCCGGAAAATGCCATCGACCTCAGCGGTCGAATCTGGACGTGTTTACGGAGATGTGCAGAAAATCGCGTTGAGTTTCCTCGACCGCACCTCTCCACAAACACGTCCAGCTTCAGGCGTTGCGGAAACTCAACGCTGCTACCGGTAGTGGCACTTGCCCCCCTCGAGCGGGAAAGATCTCTTCTATACATTCAAACTCAGGCGCGTTCAAACTCAGGCTGCGTTGTGTTCGCGGCAAGACGGCGATGAGGGGAGTCCCTCCCGAGGCTCCTTTCCTCGAGCTGAATTGCTTGCTGCGCGCCAAAATCAAACGGTCTTCTTGCCTTGCGCCGGCCGCCCTGTTTCCGCCGGGCCAGGGTCCCATCGGCGGACGTTTTTCATTTATGACTGTAGATTGTAAAGATCGATGGTCAGAAATAAAAAACAACGCACATGTGGGACCTGGCCCCCAGTACGCCGAGGTCCCAACTATTTCCCCCCACTATTAGAATGGACCCACCACAAAAGGGGAACTATATATCGGAGCTTTGCAGGGGCCGGGTCACTTGCGCCGTGTAATGGTAGAAAACCACATTCACTTTTTTTTTTTTTTTTTTTTT